CAACTGGAATTTTTAACTTATAAATAAACAAACACACAGTGTACTTAGAGTAACCATGGTAACAGGGTCACATGAAAAAAAAAACATGAATTGATATCTTTATGGACTTAGCAAAATCTATCCTGCTTAGCCTGATTCTAAGTGTAGAGGGGGAGGGGGGAGGGATTAGATGAGTTATCTAGTGTCTAGTGGTAGTATTTACAGAAGGTCCTTGTCAGACCTTCCTATTATATAACTACTCTGATGACTAGTCAAGTAACCTATTGAAGGTCCCTATCTTGTCAAAAAGACCTTCCTTTCTTCAAACTAATGACTAGTCATGTAACCTACTGAAGGTCCCTTTCTTATCAAAAAGACCTTCCTGTCTTCTAACTACTAATGACTAGTCAAGTAACCTAATGAAGGTCCCTGTCTTATCAAAAAGACCTTCCTGTCTTCAAACTAATGACTAGTCACGTAACCTAATGAAGGTCCCTGTCTTGTCAAAAAGACCTTCCTGTCTTCTAACTACTAATGACTAGTCATGTAACCTACTGAAGGTCCCTGTCTTGTCAAAAAGACCTTTGTACAAACAATCATAATTCAACTCCCAGTAATGATTCAACCCACCTCAATTACATTTTTTTTAAATACATTTTTGATGAAAATCAATGACAAATGTGTAGGTTTATCAAAGCAAATTAAAAAAAAAAATTGTCATAAAATTCAATCTTTAATTTAACCCCAGAAAAAAAAAATCAACTTCCCAGTTTATGATACGTATACGTGATACAGACAAGGGAATGTATGGGAACAAACAAGGATTACGTGTAAACATAAATGCAGGTAGCACCAACATATGGATTCACTAAAACAAGCTGCTCTATGTACAACCATTCCACCAGGCATCTACTCAATTAACAGAAACCTTATACATACAAGTATTTGTAAAGATGGGTTGTTGTTTTTTAATATATTTTCATACACCCAGAAATTATATTTTTTTAATAAAAAAAAAGGGGGGGGGGAGGTAGTGGAGTGATTTTTCAAGGAAAGATTTTGTAAACAATTAAATTATTTATTGTTCATAACACAAGCATAGAGATTTAAATAAATTCTAAACCAATCACATAAACCGACATACAAATCCCCATTTCACATTTTTCCCAAAAGGTTTTTTTTGTTCCAGCCATGCATGAAGCTCAAAAAAAAAAATAGAAAGGAAAAATGTCAAATGTACAGAGAGACACAATGTCAATGTACAGAGAGACACAACGTCACTTAAATATATTCTGTAACTGTCAAGAAAAAAGTGTAAACAGGTCATAGGTCATGGGCCTTGCATGGGTCAGGGTGTTCAACTGTTGAATTGTCATTAGCACATTAACATTGTTATGTTTTAAGTACAATAGGGTTAATTATACGTACACGTGGTACACATATTTGTGTGTACTCACGGTACATTTTCTACGTATGAAAAAGTAGGGACAAAAAAAATTGAAAATATTCATTGTGAGAAATGTAACAGATGTTCATTGTGATAAATATAACATGAAAAGATGTTCATCTTGTGGACATTCTTGCATGCATACATACAGCTCAGCATGTGGACATACAGGTTTATTTATGTTCTACTAACATAACATACGTTTGTTCAAATTTTTTAAAGGTAATTATGAAGTATTATGACAGGAAACTATGTACATATTTGTCAGAAACCAACTTTACCAACCCCGAATTTATAAATAAGCAAGATTTGAAATCTTTCTGCAAACTAAAAGCACCTCATCAACTAAAGGGGATCCTATATGTGAAGCATAACACAAAAAAATGTGTTTACAAAAGGGAGGAAGATAAATTTAAAACAAAAATTTTTTGTAATAAAATGTTTGTATCTAAATGATACACTATAGAAGAGTTCATATTAATTTTGTCGGCAATAAGCTTTTAAGAGAATACAAAAAAATGACTTGCTTAAAAAAACCTGGACAAAATATTTTCATTACAATTGCCAGTTTGGCATCTAAGATTTCATTGAAATCTCAGAATCCTTGTTCGACAAAAAGGAAACAAAAAAGCAATGAGTACATTTCAGGAAAGAGACACACAAATGTGTTTACAAACATGATTCCCCTCCAGGTTTGTGCTAGGCTGTAAGGCAGAGCGACACAAACAGATCATCTGAGAAAGACGTCATCGAAACTTTGTATCAGAATGAGGGCAAACTTCACCGCCTGCTCAACTGAGGCCAGGTTGGCCTGTCCCCTGGGCCATGCGATGTTGGGCCCAAAAACGGTGGCCACATTCTCTGCTGTCATTTGATTCACATCAGCCTTGCTGACCACCTGTGATAGAGAGAGGGGAAAGGTCAATTCATTTTTATCATCAATTATATTGATCAAAATACAGCTTTAACTATGAGAAGTGAAAGGTCAATTCATTTTTATCATCAATTATATTGATCAAAATACAGCTTAAACTATTATCTAAAAATTCTTGAAAAAACTCAAGACTGAAACCAAATGTATACTATAAAAAAAGTGAAATATAGTTGAATCATCTAAGGGATCTTAAACTTATTTTTTAACCCCCTCACTCAACAGGATTTACTTCCGACCCCACTCCTATAATGATGCCACTCATTCAACCTCCTTTTTAAATTGCATCTGTTTTTTTGTGGAACAATGAATGCTTTCTTTAATATTAACAGAGCTGAATCAATATTATCTATCTTAATCAACTTTCAGTACAATATACAAAACGTGTAAAAAAAAATTGCTAAATTTCTTTTTCAAAAATCCCTTTTGAAAAAGCAAAAGCGTGATGCTTTTATCATGCATCATATAAACTTTTGATGAGTTTCTTACCTGTTGTAAAAACTGAAAGACAAATTTGAGGATGATGTAATTGTCTTCAGGCAGTTCATCTTGCAGGATCCTTTGGACTTCATGGAGTTGCTTGCTGGGCTCTAAGACTGTGAGAGATGGAAACATGAACAAAATGTTATCTTGACAAAATGAGAGAATCATTGGAGGGGGTGTGTGGCTATAGGTATCTATACATAAAGAGAGAATCATTGTCACAAAAAGAATGGAAGGATGGGTATTCTAATATATAAAAGCCCATATGAGCACTTCTCTCTTTCTCTGTCCACATGTCCTGAGCCTAAGAGATCAGTATCTTCAATGATATATGAAGAACTTAAAAATATAGACTTTTGTTGAAAATAATAAGTTGGATGAATTAAATGTATTAACTCAATTTTATTTCAAGATGGGAAAAAAAATAATGGGATAATAGAATGTAGAAACAATGAAGTTACATGTTTAAACTACATAAAGTACACAACACTAATGGCATCATTTTCCAATTTTAGAATATGAAGAAAGGAACTATTTCATTCAAATTTGATTTAGATCTATGGATCTACTTATCAAGACATACACTAAGAAAAAAAAAAATACCATTGAACAGCTAGTTTTTAACAGAATCATTTAAGTCTCTCAATCAGTGTGTGCATTTAATATGGTATTGTGTTGACTAATAATGTATATAATTTGGTTTTGATTTTTCTAATAAATATTGGTAGCATATGTTATTTTAAATGTGTCAGATTTTTAGCTATTTAGTTATTTCTTTGCTTTGTCACTAATATTGTTCAACATATAGTAAAGCACATAGCATTTTAACCAATAAATATTATATAATAGACACAACAAAAGTGCTACAACTGGACACAACAATAGTGCTACAACTGGAAACAACAAGTGCTACAACTGGACACAACAGAAGTGCTACAACTGGACACAACAAAAGTGCTACAACTGGACACAACATAAGTGCTACAACTGGACACAACAAAAGTGCTACAACTGGACACAACAAAAGTGCTACTACTGGACACAACAAAAGTGCTACAACTGGACACAACAGAAGTGCTACAACTGGACACAACAAAAGTGCTACAACTGGACACAACAAAAGTGCTACAACTGGACACAACATAAGTGCTACAACTGGACACAACAAAAGTGCTACAACTGGACACAACAAAAGTGCTACTACTGGACACAACAAAAGTGCTACAACTGGACACAACAGAAGTGCTACAACTGGACACAACAAAAGTGCTACAACTGGACACAACAAAAGTGCTACAACTGGACACAACATAAGTGCTACAACTGGACACAACAAAAGTGCTACAACTGGACACAACAAAAGTGCTACTACTGGACACAACAGAAGTGCTACAACTGGACACAACAAAAGTGCTACAACTGGACACAACAAAAGTTCTACAACTGGACACAACAAAAGTGCTACAACTGGACACAACAGAAGTGCTACAACTGGACACAACAAAAGTGCTACAACTGGACACAACAAAAGTGCTACAACTGGACACAACATAAGTGCTACAACTGGACACAACAAAAGTGCTACAACTGGACACAACAAAAGTGCTACTACTGGACACAACAAAAGTGCTACAACTGGACACAACAGAAGTGCTACAACTGGACACAACAAAAGTGCTACAACTGGACACAACAAAAGTTCTACAACTGGACACAACAAAAGTGCTACAACTGGACACAACAAAAGTGCTACAACTGGACACAACAGAAGTGCTACAACTGGACACAACACAAGTGCTACAACTGGACACAACAATGTGCTACAACTGGACACAACAAAAGTGCTACAACTGGACACAACAAAAGTGCTACAACTGGACACAACAAAAGCGCCACAACTGGACACAACAAAAGTGCTACATCTGGACACAACAAAAGTGCCACAACTAGACACAACAAAAGTGCTACAACTGGACACAACAAAAGCGCCACAACTGGACACAACAAAAGTGCTACAACTGGACACAACAAAAGCGCCACAACTGGACACAACAAAAGTGCTACAACTGGACACAACAAAAGCGCCACAACTGGACACAACAAAAGTGCTACAACTGGACACAACAAAAGTGCTACAACTGGACACAACAAAAGTGCTACAACTGGACACAACAAAAGTGCTACAACTGGACACAAGAAAAGCGCCACAACTGGACACAACAAAAGTGCTACATCTGGACACAACAAAAGTGCCACAACTAGACACAACAAAAGTGCTACAACTGGACACAACAAAAGCGCCACAACTGGACACAACAAAAGTGCTACAACTGGACACAACAAAAGCGCCACAACTGGACACAACAAAAGTGCTACAACTGGACACAACAAAAGCGCCACAACTGGACACAACAAAAGTGCTACAACTGGACACAAGAAAAGCGCCACAACTGGACACAACAAAAGTGCTACATCTGGACACAACAAAAGTGCCACAACTAGACACAACAAAAGTGCTACAACTGGACACAACAAAAGCGCCACAACTGGACACAACAAAAGTGCTACATCTGGACACAACAAAAGTGCCACAACTAGACACAACAAAAGTGCTACAACTGGACACAACAAAAGCGCCACAACTGGACACAACAAAAGTGCTACAACTGGACACAACAAAAGCGCCACAACTGGACACAACAAAAGTGCTACAACTGGACACAACAAAAGCGCCACAACTGGACACAACAAAAGTGCTACAACTGGACACAACAAAAGTGCTACAACTGGACACAACAAAAGTGCTACAACTGGACACAACAAAAGTGCTACAACTGGACACAAGAAAAGCGCCACAACTGGACACAACAAAAGTGCTACATCTGGACACAACAAAAGTGCCACAACTAGACACAACAAAAGTGCTACAACTGGACACAACAAAAGCGCCACAACTGGACAAAACAAAAGTGCTACAACTGGACACAACAAAAGGGCTACAACTGGACACAACAAAAGTGCTACAACTGGACACAACAAAAGTGCTACAACTGGACACAACTAAAGGGCTACAACTGGACACAACAAAAGTGCTACAACTGGACACAACAAAAGTGCTACAACTGGACACAACAAAAGTGCTATAACTGGACACAAGAAATTACATTACAACATTACATACAGTGCAGCCTAGTGAGTGGCTCAAAAAGGTCGTAGGTCATCAACGGCTCCTGCAGCTCCCTGAGAAACTTCTTGAGGATGGCAGCGGCCAGGTGTGGGTCACCGTACTGGTCAAAGTCCACTGTCTCACCTGTAATGTAACAAGTTGACCTAGTTGAGATTTCTGGATACCTGGTAGCCTCAGGATTGACTAGTAAAAGTAAAAAGTTTAATTCCCTTTTCAACCTTACTTCACTGTGCAAGTCAAGTAAGAATATTTACCATTTAAGATCTAACTTAGGGTAGATGAAGGAGAGGTCACCTGTTTTAGTGACCTCGGCATATAAAGGAATAGTGTGGTCAGCACTATGAATAGCCACTTTAACTTTTTCCTAACAAGAGTTGGGTACCCATCAGAGCTGGGTGGACTCAAGTCCGGGGATAGGAACTCTTGACTTTGAAGTTAGCAGGCATACACTACCATACTACCACACCATCCCATAAGTAAGAGTAGTGGTTTAGATCTATTTATAGCACACAGTAGAGTATTGCCCCAGAGCTTACATAATACACTGCTGAGTGTTCCAACATAATTTATGAACACTTGCATTCAACTTGTACATTATACAACCATGATGTTAAATGTATGAATGTAGTGTAAATAACAACAACCTACCACTATCATATTTCTCCTGGACTTCAGTCATGGTGGAAACTCGAGCACATCTTCGGAATAATCCCTCGGCTTCATCACCTGAGCAGGAAAACATTTCATTGCATTAAAAGTTAAAAAAAGCTTTGAAAATATCCCAATCCCATGCTTCACCCTAACAATAATAGTGACTAAAGAAAACTCGAGGCAACATTAAAAGATCCTAATGCCATTGCCCTTATCATAGCATTCATAAATTGATGGAATGTAGGCCTACAGATTACAGATAAAAATAAAATAAGACACACTTTTACAAATATTTTATCATTAACAGTCAAGACCCCAACAGTCAGACCCCAAAAGTCAGACCCCAAAAGTCAGACCCCAAAAGTCAGACCCCAACAGTCAGACCCCAACAGTCAGACCCCAACAGTCAGATCCCAACAGTCAGACCCCAACAGTCAGACCCCAACAGTCAGACCCCAACAGTCAGACCCCAACAGTCAGACCCCAACAGTCAGACCCCAACAGTCAGACCCCAACAGTCAGACCAACAGACCCCAACAGTCAGACCCCCACAGTCAGACCCCAACAGTCAGACCCCAACAGTCAGACCCCAACAGTCAGACCCCAACAGTCAGACCCCAACAGTCAGACCAACAGACCCCAACAGTCAGACCAACAGACCCCAACAGTCAGACCCCCACAGTCAGACCAACAGACCCCAACAGTCAGACCCCAACAGTCAGACCCCAACAGTCAGACCCCAACAGTCAGACCAACAGACCCCAACAGTCAGACCCCAACAGTCAGACCCCAACAGTCAGACCCCAACAGTCAGACCAACAGACCCCAACAGTCAGACCCCAACAGTCAGACCCCAACAGTCAGACCCCAACAGTCAGACCCCAACAGTCAGACCCCAACAGTCAGACCAACAGACCCCCACAGTCAGACCCCCACAGTCAGACCCCAATAGTCAGACCCCCACAGTCAGACCCCAACAGTCAGACCCCAACAGTCAGACCCCAACAGTCAGACCCCAACAGTCAGACCAACAGACCCCAACAGTCAGACCCCAACAGTCAGACCCCAACAGTCAGACCCCAACAGTCAGACCCCAACAGTCAGACCCCAACAGTCAGACCAACAGACCCCCACAGTCAGACCCCCACAGTCAGACCCCAACAGTCAGACCCCCACAGTCAGACCCCCACAGTCAGACCCCCACAGTCAGACCCCCACAGTCAGACCCCCACAGTCAGACCCCCACAGTCAGACCCCAACAGTCAGACCCCAACAGTCAGACCCCAACAGTCAGACCCCAACAGTCAGACCCCAACAGTCAGACCCCAACAGTCAGACCCCAACAGTCAGACCAACAGACCCCCACAGTCAGACCCCCACAGTCAGACCCCAACAGTCAGACCCCCACAGTCAGACCCCCACAGTCAGACCCCCACAGTCAGACCCCAACAGTCAGACCCCAACAGTCAGACCCCCACAGTCAGACCCCCACAGTCAGACCCCCACAGTCAGACCTTAAGAATTGACCATTAGAGTAGTTGTTACAATTATTTAAAGAAGTAATTGTTACCTCCAGTTGACTTGAGGTATTCAATAGCATCTTCTACAGGTAGGGGGATGATTCTACCTGTGTTCTTTTTCAAGCTGAAATTTGGATTGAAGTGGAAACTCACATTAGTTTAAAAAATATACTGAGGGCTTATATTTTCTTTATATAAAGAATTTTATATATTTTTAACTTAACAACCATTAGTGACTGCCTCATTCAAGAAATAAGCATAACATTAGACTTATTCTAAAGAAAAGTATTAGTCAACAAAAACATTACTCATGAATTGTGAACTTTTGTAAAGAAACATATTCTTCTTGTTAAAATGTGTTTACTGTTTAAAGTATTTTTCTATGCCAATGTTTTAAATATGTTTTTATTGTGTAAATTAAGATAACCATAATGTTCTACCATTTTTACAGTAACTATTCATAATTTTCTAGCATCATTTAATCTATCTGTAACTTTATAACATTTTTTAATCAATTTGTAATGTTTTATAATTGTTTAATCTATATGTAATGTTATACCATTATTTAATCTATTTGTAACTTTATACCACTGTTTTATCTATTTGTGACTTCTTACCACCCTTTAATCTATATGTAACTCTCTAACTTATTGAGATGTAAACTGAAGCAACCATAAAAATATCTTACTCTGGTAGAGAGAGACCAAACTGCTGAGCTTTCCTCGGCTCCTTCCTGGTGCTGCTGTCATTGGGGTAGTTGACTTTGTTCTTTTCTCTTTTCTTGGAGTCAAAACTAGACAGACAGATTATAACATATACGTTAGTCTTGACAAAAACTAGATAGACAAAAAACAGGGCAGTGAACATTGACAAAAGCTAGCCAGAGAACAGGAAATATTGACAAAAGCTAGCTAGAGAACAGGAAATATTGACAAAAGCTAGACAGACAGAAAACTGGACAGTGTACATTAACTCAGCTGGTCATCACCTGTGTATCAATGCCAGATGTTTGGGTACAATTCCATTAGCCGTACCACCATAAATCAAGCTTTCACACCCCTTATCCTAATCCTAGCCTGATCCTAATCCTAGCCTGATCCTAATCCTAGCCTGATCCTAATCCTAGCCTGATCCTAATCCTAGCCTGATCCTAATCCTAGCCTTATCCTAATCCTAGCCTTATCCTAATCCTAGCCTGATCCTAATCCTAACCTGATCCTAATCCTAGCCTGATCCTAATCCTAGCAGTATCCTATTCCGAGCCTTATCCTATTCATAGCTTTATCCTAATCCTAGCCTTATCCTAATTCTAGCCTTAAACCTAAAGGTTAGAGTATTACTATCAGTTATAGTAACTATCCTAATTAAACACTCTGGCCAATAGATACAGATAAGAAACAAATATTTAACTTATTACACTTCATCCAATATAATAAAATACAACAGACATCTGATATTTGAAATATGCAAGCCCAAATTTATTTAATGATTAGCAATTGGATTTGTGAAGTGGTGACAGACAGCTGAATGTAAGGTAATAGATTTACACCTGTACAAGTTTGAAGTTTATTTGAAATTGATTTTGGTGCGCCCACCGGAATTGAAAGAATGGCAGCTTGAATAGCCAGCTATAAAGAGAACAGTCATTTTAAAATAGCCTCCATAAATAGAAGTAATTTTAAAATGGCCGTTGTTTACATAAAGCTAAACTAAAGGTCCCATGTGATAAATATTTTGTTAAAACTTTTTTATGACAAACAAAATGTTTCACCCACCAGTTTTCAACCAGGAAATGACCATTTAATTCATTTAATTATCTACTTGACATTGTCCTTTAGACAACAATTTATTGTTGTTACCACATGATTCAAATATCTTTTTTTTACAGTTAAAAGCTCTGTAAATGTCACATGACTTAGGAACTCATGTAAACAACAAAAGGGAAGTAAGTACGTAAGTAAAACAAGGGGAAGTAAGTCTGCATCAAGCCATGTCCTGTACATAGTTAAACAAAGGTTGAGGTTAAAACATAAGTTTCCTGGTTGATCTTTATTTTCCAGGATACCAAAATGTTTTTATATCAAGCACAACATTTTTTTTTTTTTGCTTTTTTACATACAGACATCCTTAAATTAGTTTTATTTTTCAATAATAAATTACTTTAGGAACAAAGTTGTTTTTAATGCCTAATCTTTAAACAAGTAATTAAAAAAAGTCTAGTGACAATTTTAGCACAATTTCCTTATGTTATCTAAAAATAGCTCTGTCGTAGCGTAAATCAAGAGCAGGGTTAGTAAAACCATTGGTTAGTTATTAAAACGTTTTTTATTAATTTTTTTTTTCAGTATTTTACATGTTTTATTTACAACTAGGCATGCTGCCCAGCTTTGCTTAGGCTTTCGAAAACATTGAGAATTTGAATGCTTAATTAATTCGCCCGAGGGTCGGTCTACGACCTCAGGAGTTATGAAGAGGTTCCTCCGTGGACATTTTTTTTCGATTTATAGCTCATATAAGGCGCCGGTCAGTCGAGGTCAGTTTTGACCCCATCATCGTAGACTTCTCGGCCAACCGGCCCCCGTGTTCTGTCGCCCCAAGGCAAGATCCTGCCAAATTTGAAGCGCCTGCGGCGCCGGGAAGTGCCATATCGTGCACCCGACAACTTAGCTTTATATATTATAGAGATAGAGATTAGCAAATTGCATAGATAAACAAAGATTTCAATAAAGTAATTCAATAAAGTAATTAAGGCCTGAAATACTTTAGTATAGAAATGTATTATTTGAATAGATGAATCTAGAATATCTAGATCTAGAATCCAAATAAATAAAATAAATTTTATGAGTTTAGGCCGGAAAAATTGTATTGTATACATTTCATAGTGTACGTAGATCTAAATCAAATTTGAATGAAATAGTTCATTTCTTTTTATTCTAAACACGGCAGACGACGTCATTAGTTAATGTATAAGCAATAGTGACGTCACAGTTTTATGCGTTCTTTTTCACATCTATTAATGCTTTTCCGGTTGCATAAATAATAATGTTTCTCTACATTCGAATACGCCTTTAATTTTTATTTTTCTTCTTTAAATAAAATTGTGGCTATACATTTAAAACATCTAACATATTATTTTCAACAAAAGTCCGTATAAAAATCTCCATATATCGCTGCCGTTTCTGACGTGATGTCCGGCGAAAATATTTTGCGGACAGACAGAGAGAGAGAGAGAGAGAGAGAGAGAAGTGCGCACATGGGGAATTATATATTAGGATAGAGTAACATGACTAAAAACCATTGCGCGCCTAGCTACCGAACGTGATGTCGCAGCCATTGAACGTGATGGCGCAGCTATTGAACGTGATGACGCGTGTGGTGTGGTTGGAAAAACATGCCTACTAATTCGGCCTAAATTTTAATTAATTCAAAAAAAAATTTGTGACCGAACGAAAGGATATTTTTGAAAACTTTCTTCGGCAATATTGTTCTAAATTATGGCAGGAATCGATTGGTACATGTTTCAAGTCGCTAAGTGGTCTGGTTGCCGAGATATGGGCCAAAAACTGCTTTTTTTGGGGGTTTTTTGGCTTTTTCGGGAAATCCATGAAAGAAACCCTGAATTTTTATGGCCTATGTTCATCCTCGTAACTTGCTTAACATAATTGCTTTTGTAACTAGTCATCGATATTGCTTCGTTGAGGAGGAGATACGACTTAAAGCCCGGACACACATTCATACATCCATACATTCATCCATCCATACATTCCCAGAAATGACGAGTTAATAAACGCAATTCTCCAGAATGGATATTGCGCTAAAAAGTGGGGAGGCCGTGGTGGAGTGGTCGAGTGCTCCACTGCTAGCCTAAAAGTCTAGGGTTCAGATCTTCATCTGGACTCAAAACTGCTCCCCCTACTCTGATGGGTATCAGATTCACATTAGGGAAAATAGGGCATTGTGCTGACCAAACTATCACATCATTTTGCCTGATCTACAAAAACTTGTCAAAAACAAGGAATATCAACAGTTTAAATAAATGAAAGTTTGTTTTTTTAAACGCTCGTATTTCTCACAAGGAAGTGAATAATGCTAGCCAGCAAGTTTAACAATGTAACATCTTACACTTATTACAACTGTAGAGCCATAATCTATCATTAACTTCAAGACAACATCCTGTGGTGAGACATGCAAATGAGAAATGCAAATGACATGCAAATGAGACATGCAAATGAGACATGTAAATGAGACATGCATATAAGACTCCTAGCCCTGGTCTGCACCAAAAAGAAACAATAAACCGCAGCCTGAAAAACTAGCCGCGTCTATTTTTAGACCAGAGGTAACAAGCCAGTGGAGGGTGACAGACAAGTGACATTCATATCTCTGTCTTCCTGTCACGCTCTGCTGGTTTTTAATTTAACAATGGCGTGTTGGAAGAAAAGTAAGGCAATATCTTGGCAGTAAAATGGATGTTAAATTTTTTTAGTTTGCTGTCTTCCTGAGAGTCTTTTTATAGAACAGATACATGACTGTGCTTTTATTTGGGCATGGCTTGTGTTAATTTTAATGACATATACGAGAAAAATGACATTTTAAATGGCCTATCAGAATTAATGACACAGGACACAATGCCAGAGGGAGAGGTGCTGAGATGACATTTGGATGGAGGACATCAGGGAATGGATATAAGATGGATGACATAAGGGAATGGACATTGGATGGAGGACATCAGGGAATGGACATGGGATGGAGGACATCAGGGAATGGACATTGGATGGAGGACATCAGGGAATGGACATTGGATGAAGGACATCAGGGAATGGACATTGGATGGAGGACATCAGGGAATGGACATTGGATGGAGGACATCAGGGAATGGACATTGGATGGAGGACATCAGGGAATGGACATGGGATGGAGGACATCAGGGAATGGATATTGGGTGGAGGACATCAGGGAATGGACATTGGATGGAGGACATCAGGGAATGGACATAGGATGGAGGACATGAAGGAATGGATATTGGGTGGAGGACATCAGGGAATGGACATTGGATAGATGACATCAGGGAATGGACATTGGATAGATGACATCAGGGAATGACCTAGGCTGAGAATTTCTTGGAGCAGCAGAAGGCAGAGAAAGATGGCAAAAAAATATTAAAGAACTGTGGTAACCCCCCCCCCCCCCCACTCCCCCCACAGTTATGGGATGACTGGTTGGTTGATTATATGTCCAACCAGCAGTGTTGACTAGGACAAGTTGTCTAAAGCTATTAGAGTGTGACAGCACTAATAATAACAGACCATCAAAAGAGCTGAAGGCAACCAATATCAACACAGAGCAACACATAACCCAACAAAACGCCCTTACATAACCCAACAAAACGCCCTTACATAACCCAACAAATCACCCTTACACCACAAAGCCCCCTTACACAACAAAGCCCCCTTACACAACAAAGCTCCCTTACACAACAAAGCCCCCTTACACAACAAAGCCCCCTTACACCACAAAGCCCCCTTACACAACAAAGCCCCCTTACACAACAAATCACCCTTACACAACCCAACAAATCACCCTTACACAACAAAGCCCCCTTACACAACAAAGCCCCCTTACACAACAAAGCCCCCTTACACAACAAATCACCCTTACACAACCCAACAAATCACCCTTACACAACAAAGCCCCCTTACACAACAAAGCCCCCTTACACAACAAATCACCCTTACACAACCCAACAAATCACCCTTACACAACAAAGCCCCCTTACACAACAAATCACCCTTACACAACCCAGCTAATCACCCTTACACAACCCAGCTAAACACCCTTACATAACCCAACAAAGCCCCCTTACACAACAAAGCCCCCTTACATAACCCAACAAAGCACCCTTACACAACAAAGCCCCCTTACACAACAAAGCCCCCTTACATATTATCCAGCGGTACTAGCTGCTCCCTGCCGTAGATATACGAGCACCTCTGGCAGGCCACCTTCTCCAGCCGGACCGTCCTGCTCCCAGCCTGACCAGCCCCACTGCCCCGCCCGTGGTAGCTGCACGGGTTCGTTATGTTATCCACCGACAGGGACCGCCCCCGCTGCAAGAGGTAAACTGGCCGGGACGGGGATTCCCGTTGAGGAGGCAGGGCGGCTAAAGGCGTGTTGGGCGAGGACACAGATTGTTGAGCGCAAGACTGAGCTGTTTTCTTCCGCGATTTCTCTCTAGCTAGACCCGGCTTCGTGTTGGTCAACGGCGCTTGGGACAAGTCGTAGGAAGATTTACTAGAGGAAAACGGGTTGGAAAATTGTACATTTTTGGTCGGGCTGAGCCAGAGGAGTGCTGATTTGAGGATCCTGAGATGGCTGGGACGCTTTGGTTTGCTGCCAGATTTGGCAGTGAGTAGGTCGGGAATACTGGTCGAGGTTCGCAGACGGTCGCTTCTGTTGAGGTTATCGGCGCTGGTGAACAAGCGTTTTTTCCCGTCGGTTTGTTTAGCAGCTGGCGAGTAGAGGCTTAGCTCGGGGGGTAAGCTCAGCTCTGGGACAGATGAGCTCTTGCCGGAGGTAATGCAAGCGTTGGGGGTACTCTGACTAGCTGGCGGTGTGGCGTGGCGTGGAGTGACGGTACCTTTTTTCCTGCGACGCTCGTTCCGCTGAAGTTTCCGCTCAAATTTCCCAGCGTTTTTGTCGAGGCTATTTTCTCTGTCGCACGTGACGCAATCATCTACGTCACTAACGACCGGGATACTCTCTGAGCCGAGATGTTCATTTGGCGTATCAACACCCAACCCCTGATCGTATTTAATATCAACATTTGGGTCTAGTCCGTTTACAGTTATATCAACATTAGAGTTCAACACAATATCAAAATTAGGGCTAGGCTCTCCATTTTTGTTAACAATAAAATCCTCGTTTTTACATTCTATATAATTCTTAGAATCTATTAGTTTATCATCATTGAAGCCCTGGCCGTTAGATTCTACAGAATCCTTAGAATCCACAAGTTTATCACCATTGGAGAGGTCAGTTGTGTGGTCCACACTCTCCCCCACATGAGAGCCAACACTTGTCCGCGGCTCACTGCTACACAGCGGCCCCAGAGCCGCCAACTGACCAACCTCAAACCCGTTCTCAAAAGCATCCAGCAGCTCCCACGAGCCAAAGTCTCTCTTGACGTGGACGGGACTTCGCGCATGCGCAAGACCACCGTCACGTGGTTCCTCGCTGAACGACGCCTCGTTGGTGTCGGCGCTGATGTTGCTGTAGCTGTAGTTGCTGCTGCAGGACAGGTACTCGTCCGACTCGCTCCTCAACGACTGGTTGCTCAGCGGCCCGAACCTCAGCCTCAAGGCCGGAGACTTGCCAGTGTGGAACTCCTCAACGCTGCTCACAGAGTCGTTGAGAAACCTGGCGTCGAACGTGGCCGTGTCTTCCACCGTCGGGGAATCGAGGGTTACACAACCGTTGGCTGAGTTGAAGAGGTGAAGGTCGTCTAACGAACTCAGGTTAGAAAAACAGGACCCGTCTTCAACCCGAGACTCCAGGTCGGAGAACACCCCGTCCTCGACCTTCACGCCATGATCGGCATCAGTCAAACGGTCGGTGAAGCTCAGCCGGAGAACCGGCATCGTGCCGGTTGTCGTGTCGCTGTCGTTGAGGTAGATGACGCCACAGCAAGCCTCGTCTTCCGTCACGATCAGGGAGCTGTAATCACCGGTCAGCGCTTGCGACGCCAGGTGACCGCACTCAAGGTACAGCCCCGTGGCGGTACCGGTGACGTCACTGACGCTCCGTTGACGCGGCTGACAGCGGCGGTCGTCGTTATCGAAAATGGGTGTGTCGTTGCCGTCCCCGCCCTCGCCGCTGATCTCCCTCCCCGTGCCCGTTTTGTTCCTCTCCACCAAGTCCCGGGCGAACTTGGAGAAGATGAGCGAGATGTTGTTCACCGGCTTCCTCCTGCCCAGAGACGAGTGCTTCTTGCTAGGGACCGGCGGCTTGTCTTGACTGACACGGTCCGTGTATTGGATCGATGTCCGATCGTTCTGTTCTGGCAATTCGTTATCACATCTACAACTGTCCACACTAGAATTGGTCAGGGCTTCCAAGTTGTGTACACGTTTGCTACTGTCTTCTACCAATGGGCTATCTGCCCCCAAACTACCACTGTCCACACTAGAATTGGTCAGGGATTCCAAGTTGTGTACACGTTTGCTACTGTCTTCTACCAATGGGCTATCTGCCCCCAAACTACCACTGTCCACACTAGAATTGGTCAGAGGTTCCAAGTTTGTTACAAGTTTACTACTATCCTCTTGCAATGGGCTATCTGCACCCAAGCTACCATCCATGTCCACATTAGAACTGACCAGCGGTCGGAAGTTTTTATCGCTTGTGCTATCGCCTTCTAGAAGCGGGCTTTCGGCCTCAAAACTATCACCCGTGCTAGCACTAGAACTGACCAGTGTCCGAAAACGCTTCCCTTTACCACTGTTCTCTAGAAGCGTTACATCCACGTCAAAACTTCCTCCCATATCTGAACTAGAACTGGCCATAGCCCGGAAGTTTTTCCTACCCCTGCTGCTCTCCTCCACCCCAGCGCTCTCCATATCAAAGCTCCCCCCGGAGTCCACGCTGGACGCCACCAGCAGGTGTTTGACCTTAGGGGACGGGGTCAGCTCACCGACCCTCCCGTACTCCAGCTCACCGGAGTCGAGCAGATCAAAGCTGCCACCAGAGTCATTAGACTCGCACTTGTACAGACGACCTCGACCGTAGCCGGGGTCACTGCCGCTGTCCGAGCAGCACTTGACCCCTCCACACTCCAGGCCCGAGGGCCAGTCCGGTCCGTTCCTTGCCGAGTCAATCATCTCTCGGTACTCTCGTCCGTTTCTGGCCACACAAACCTTAGCTACACTGTGTATCTTCACACAGTGCTAAATATTCTGACCGTACTCTCTGCAGAGTAGATGAACGCTATGCATCCTGATATTCGATATCAAGTTATGAAGGTTTACTTCCCTTTATGCCACATAAACAAGCTGAAAATATCCGTGGAGTTTATTCACATTCTTCCACTGGGTGTATGACGCACAAGACGACGTATATTCACTGCTGAATTAGCCATGGTCAAATGAAAGACGAGACACTGATACAGAAACACAGTGGTACACTGGCGACAGAAATCTAGATGAAATAATGTGACACTACACACGATGCTGAAGTCTACTGGTGGATATGGTTGTTGGTGCACTTAAGATGGGAAACTTGATTTATTTACCACGTACACGCTTCTATTTACTGACGATGTAGAATTTTGATTTACTCGATGTAGAATTTTGATTTACTCGATGTAGAATTTTGATTTACTCGATGTAGAATTTTGATTTACTCGATGTAGAATTTTGATTTACTCGATGTAGAATTTTGATTTACTCGATGTAGAATTTTGATTTACTCGATGTAGAATTTTGATTTACTCGATGTAGAATTTTGATTAACTCGATGTAGAATTTTGATTTACTCGATGTAGAATTTTGATTTACTGACGACGTAAAAACTTGATTTACTAACTATATATAAACGTGATTTACTGACTATATATAAACTTGATTTACTGAGTACAATTCTAGATTCACTGACGAATTCAGAATTAAGACTAAAACCGTAACTAAGAATCCAATAATCAAACAACTGAATTCACCGGCAGAGTAAATCGACAACACCACCATCCATTAGAAATAACTCCCTCCGTCACCGATGTAACAGAAAAGTCCAATTAATCTGCGATGTGCACTTAATCCATACCCATTGTTTAACCCAACCCCTCCGCTAACTCGGGCAGCTATCCCAGGAATGTCGAGCCAAAAACTCCCCCTACAAAGTAGGCGAGCGTGAAGCATAAAAGCCCATCCAGTTATTTCGTGGACCGCGCGCGGCCAACAATGTAGACAAGCATTTTAAAGAAACAAACCGAAAGAATTTCTCGACGTCAAGCCTCGCTGCTGGCAGTGGTTGGCGTGATAAACAAATGCGTTCGTGCTAGGCACAGGGGGCGTGCAGGGGTCTATGTGACACCATCAGCCCTACCTTTTTCTTACATTCTCATCCTTGTCCGACTTACGACCATGATTCCGTGGTGTAAGGTCAGAACAGTAGTAAATACAACTGCGTGCTGGTGACAGATGGGGTTGGGGGTGGGGTGGGGGTGACTTAGGGGGAGACGTGACCACAAGGACACAGTCCAAGCTTGACGCTGCCAGATTAATGAGCGGACACGTTTATCCTACAGAAGATTTTCGTTGAGGGAGAAAAATAAAAACATGGGATGTTACATCTGTCCTTCACTAATCTACCCCCCCCCCCTTTCCCCTCTCACCTAACACACTTCTGTCAGTTAAAAAACAAAACAAATGCGCACAATTCGGAGAATTTACTGATAATAAAACAAACTGACATATGGTCAGATTTAAATGTCATAAACATATTTATACGCTTCATAGTTAAATGCTATGTATCCTCGCATACATCTGGATTTTTGTATTACTGTCATGTATGTACGCATTAATGTTATGAGCAGGTACATATAAATGTATATGTCCAAACATAACTTGTATACGTAAATATATAAGCTTTAGAAACACATTGACATTTAAACTTAACTGCTAATGACATGTACTTGAGCCTATGTATACAAACAGACATAAGATAAGACATATATAGACACACAAGGCATGTACATACGTATACATTTCATGTGAGTCATTGTTTTCTTTAAATATCTCGAGTTCAATTAAAAATGTGATCGTGTAAAGAATTACAACGATAGATGTAATGCCAAATGATGATGTGCGATCGTGATTTTATGCTCATGGTATGAATGACGCATATTCGTATGCCTATTACACGATCGAATACTAATCTTTTTTGATTGAACATTACTTGAAAGACAATTATACACTGAGATTGGTGACCGATAGATCTAGTAGCGGTGATGGGACCTGGGACTACCCATTATGCCATGAACAATAACTTTAAATCGGACAAAACACTACAATAAACACAACACAAATCATCCGTAATGGTCAACGGGCTAATAATGATGTAGAAATTGAAGTGCAGTTTGGTTGGGTTTTTTTTTTAAACGGTGATTGAAAAGACTTAATCATGCAAAAAAACTGCAAGGAAAGCTTTTTTTATTATTAAAAAAAAAAAAAAACTACACCGGATTTTTTTTTTAAACTTCATCAGCTTAACACATTTTAGATGACGTGATTTTAATGTGTACACGGGTACACACGTTCAAGCCGTCACGCATAAAGGACGCTGGCTCCCGCTCAAATATTAGCAGAACTGAAAGGACTAAAAGTTCAAAAGGTCGCGTAACCAAGCCTATTGCCCCAATTAACTATTCAAACAATTTTAGGATTCTTCTTATATTAAAAAAAAGGGGGACGGCATGGCTTAAGAGGTAGTGTGATAGACTGCTAACCCGAAAGTCTTGAGTTCTTGAGTAGAACGTCCCGTGCCCACCCAGCTTTGATGAGTACCTAACTCATGTTAGGGTAAGTAAATGCGGCTGGGCAAAGTGCTGACCACACCTTCAGTTCATATGCCGAGGTCAAGAAACATATCTATCTATATATATAATTCTTTTCTTGGAGACCCTAGAAAACACCAAGCTGTAAGCGCGCTCACTACCACCCCCCCACCCCTACATGGTCTGGTGAGCCGTGGTTCACGCTAAATGTTTACAATCGTAGAGCCGGGTTTAGTGACGGCTATTAGGGGCAGATAATATAGTTTGAAACGATTTTTACCTTAGGGGAGATAACTAAGAGGAGGTTGCTTTCACGAGTTACTGATAGTGTTTTAAAGCAAATATACTCAGTGGCAGCATTGGTACTGTCGAATTCACAAATTATGAATTACTGAAAAGTATAAAATAAAACAACTAAATAGCGGCGTATGATACGCCGCGGGTCGGCTCGTTAACTCTATTTCATCTGCCCAATTGGATAGCTAGGTCTAAAGAGGATTCTATACTTTACTTATATTCAAAGGTATCTGTATAGAGAAAAAAATTTACTTTAAAAAAATGCTTATTGCGGTTAGCTTACGATGTGGTATTTATTAATGGGGTTATCGCTTTAATAATTTAAAACGTAATTGAAACCGCAAACATGACCCTAAACGAATTAACAATCAGCCCGCGGGCCAAGTGTGTTTACTTCAGTGTCCGCCTATCTGTGAAAACAATGCATTGTTTACGTGTTAATCCAGATCTACGTTTAACCCTCTCGTGACCGGAACAGCGTGAAGAAACGATTGTGTACTGAGTGCCGGTTGGTGTGAATGAAACAGTTGACTGGGGGAGGGAGGGTGGGGGTGTTCGATTCATCTTTACTCGGCTGTGAAGGGGTGGAAATAGGTTAGGACAGTTTTCACAGGTTGGTTGTTTTTTATGGACTACTGAAGTTAAAGGTGGTAGTTTTAAAGGTTAGGGCAGATTGTCGTGGGTTGTTTTTTTTATGGACTACACATAGTTAATTTAAAGGTAATAGCTTTATAGACCAGAGGTTCTCCGAGTGTACAGTTGGGGACAATGGCATGGTAACATGTAGGCAATGTATGGTGTTCCAGAGTTATCGTAGCATAGCTAAGCTGGTGATAGGGGAGCTTAGGGAGAGGCTAATGTTTCAGAACAGGCTACAATTGAAAGAGAAGCTACTGTTAGACGAAACTACACTTTAAAAAGAGGCTAAGTTTATCATTAAAATAACAGGCTGTATTTCAGGAAGAAACCACATTTGAGGAATCGGATATAGTTTTAAAAGATGGCTACATTTCAGGAAGGGGCTATAGTTTTAAAAGATGATACATTTCAGGAAGGGGCATATTGTTTAAAAAGATGCTACATTTCAGGAAGGGGCATATAGTTTTAAAAAAAAATTCATAAAAAACGTTTTAATAACAAGCTTTTATGTAATGATGCACTAAAAAGTAGAAAATAAATTATAGAATACTATTTAAATAACTATAAAGAAAAGCGTGGGTCACTTTAGTATCTATTGGATACCTTTACTAATGTTAAGGAAGACACCCACGCTTTTCTTTATAGTTATTTAAATAGTAGTCTATAATTTATTTTCTACTTTTTAGTGCATCATTACATAAAAGCTTGTTATTAAAACGTTTTTTATGAATTTCTTTTCAGTACTTTACATGTTTTATTTACAATAGAGTTACATGACTAAAAACCATTGCGCGCCTACTGAACATCACGTTCAGTAGGCGCGCAATGGTTTTTGAACGCAGCCATTACGTGATGGCGCAGCTATTGAAGGTGATGACGCGTGTGGTGTGGTTGGCTAGACATGCCTACTAATTCGGTCCTAATTTTTATTAATTCATAAAAAATTAATTAGGCATCCAATTAAGTCAAATTTAGTTTCAGATTGCATTGTCTTCATGTCTTGACCCACGTGCCAACTGTGAATCGTGTCGGTCAAGTAGAACTGTCCGAATTTTCACTCCTGCGTTTCCGTCTAGACTGACGACAGACAGAGGAAGTGAGTTAAATAAAAGCTTGTAAAAAAAAATTCATAAAAAACGTTTTAATAACAAGCTTTTATGTAATGATGCACTAAAAAGTAGAAAATAAATTATAGACTACTATTTAAATAACTATAAAGAAAAGCGTGGGTGTCTTCCTTAACATTAGTAAAGGTATCCAATAGGGTCCTAGGACCTTTGACCACAGGTGCTTTGACCATAGGGGGTTTGACCATAGGGGGTTTGACCACAGCGGAGCTTTGACCATAGGGGCTTTGACCATAGGGGGTTTGACCACAGCGGGCCTTTGACCATAGCGGTGCTTTGACCATAGGGGGTTTGATCATAGGAGGTTTGACGACAGACTGACGAGGAAGTGAGTTAAATAAAAGCTTGTAAAAAAGATGCTACATTTCAGGAAGGGGCATATAGTTTAAAAAGATTCTACATTTCAGGAAGGGGCTATAGTTTAAAAGATGCTACATTTCAGGAAATGGCATTTAGTTTAAAAAGATGCTACATTTCAGGAAGGGGCTATAGTTTAAAAAGATGCTACATTTCAGGAAGGGGCATATAGTTTTAAAAGATGCTACATTTCAGAAAGGGGCTATAGTTTAAAAAGATGCTACATTTCAGGAAGGGGCATATAGTTTAAAAAGATGCTACATTTCAGGAAGGGGCTATAGTTTAAAAGATGCCACATTTCAGGAAAGGGCATATAGTTTTAAAAGATTCTACATTTCAGGAAGGGGCTATAGTTTAAAAGATGCCACATTTCAGGAAAGGGCATATAGTTTAAAAAGATGCTACATTTCAGGAAGGGGCTATAGTTTAAAAAGATGCTACATTTCAGGAAGGGGCTATAGTTTTAAAAGATGCTACATTTCAGAAAGGGGATATAGTTTTAAAAGATACTACATTTCAGGAAGGGCCTATAGCTTTAAAAGATGCTATATTTCAGGAATGGGCTATAGTTTTAAAAGATGCTACATTTCAGGAATGGGCTATAGTTTTAAAAGATGCTACATTTCAGGAATGGGCTATAGTTTTAAAAGATGCTACATTTCAGGAAGGGGCTACAGTGAAAGAACAGGCTCAACATCAGTTGCCTGACTATAGTCGATTTCCGAAGACCAGCAAAATTACATACAAGCGAGACAGTCATCAAATCAAGCAAAACGGGGAGTGACACAAACATCAGCCGAGATACAGATCATTGTTTTGTTGACACACATTGCCTGCTCTCAGCAAATATGGGGTGGCTTTCTGTTGATTCTTCGCTTCACCGACCGTGGCGTCAATACTATGCACCATGTTGCTAGCATACACAAGTAAACAACTTGGCTTTTTGGATGTGAATGTCTACATTGCTTTCATAGCATAGAAACGTGGATTAAACCGAGGGTTAAATGCTAATTGAGTTAGCGGTGGGGTGGTA